GCCCGATGAGGGGCTTGATCCCAGGACCCTAGGATCATGGCCTGAGCCAAAGGCAGAAGCTTAATGACTGAGCCACCCAGATGCCCCTAACCACCAGCTTTAGGTAACACAGAGATAAAATTTATTTCTGTGGAAAAAGCAAAGTTGAAAATACAGAATTTTTGCAATAAAATGGTAGTGCAGGAATGGGAGAAGCAGCATTGCAAACACAAAAATCTTTAACTTTATTCTTGAAGCCTGTTGAATAAATGTAGGAAAAAGACATTTTACTAAGGGTTAAGAGAAAGAATTTGGATGTCTAGCATACCTACTAAATCCGTTCACAAGAAGAAAACAAAATGTCCCCTTTATGTATACAGCAGCAGAGTACTATTTCATCATTAAATTGGTTGAATCCAGTAAGAGGTTGCTTTTTTTATCAAAAGAACTATTTTTTGATAATCTCCTATACACTCAAATTCTCTATGAATGTCACAGAAAAAAAAGTAACACAGAAAAATTTTGAGAAAACTATTTTTATCAGTTTTTGAATAGGTTCCTTATTTACAATTAAATATTATACAAATGATAAAATGTTGGTACATACAATGAATAATGATTACAGGAAGGTCATCTGACACATTAGATCAGCAACACTCTAAATGTGTTTAGTATTTGTTAAATACATTTAATGAAATCCCTGTATATGTAACTTACACTAATTCAAGTTGACATCTTATACTTATCAACATACAGGGCACTGGAAGGGCGAATGATGTCATTCCATGTAGCATATATAGGCTCTGCCATTATCAATACTCAAGTAAAATTCAATCCTTCAGGTGTTTTCAAGAAACCCAGATGGTTGATCTAGTGCTGATAACACAGCAAGATGATTAATTGATTCCAGTTTTCATCTACATCTTAGATATTATAAGATCAGTAAATATCAGCCTAGAGATACTGTAAAAACACTGAAACACTTCTAGTTATGACATTTATTTATTTAAACATCAAAATTCCACAGTATCAGACCAGCAAAAAAATATTTTCAAGATACCATGAAGTATAAGAAAATCCAATATGCCTCAATCTATCAAAACAAAGAAAAAATACATTCTTCTTAACATTGGGAAATCTAACTTCTCCCCTGACATAAAGGTAAATGAGCATGCCAAATAAAGAAACTCGTACCTAATTTTTTTAAAGTAAGAGCCATTAAATATTTTATTTACAGTCATGTGAGTAGAAAAAAATGAGTTAAAAAAAAAAGGAGGAAGGCTATTTCTCAATGTCCCCAGCTCATCTGGGTATTTATTATTTAGAACTTTTGTACCCATGTAAAGAAGGCTATAGTCACTGATACCATGTCTGTAAACAGAGGAAACGTGTTCTGTATATATAAATTTTCCAGTTATGGAAAAGGACACTAAAAAGAAAAAAACATGAAGAGGTACTCAAAGGAGGTACTTGTTATTTCAAGATAATTTGGAATTGGAAAGGCTGCTTAATGTGAATCCACAAAAAGATAGCCAATATTTTATAATAAATAGGGGTAAAAGATTGGATGGGACATTATCTTAAAAAGATAACTAAAAGTAAAATAAAACTTTTATTTTAAACAAAGTTTATTATAATTACAATTATGCATTAATCCTTTGAATGAACAAAACTTGGTTAATTGCATATTAATAGTCCAGTGATAGCTGGTGTTTTTGTGACAAAATTGTTTGATAAACAATATACCTCTTTTACTGTTATCTCATTTCTACAAAAATATTCTAGACATTCATCAATTTCCCCAAGGATTTCTCTTGATTCTTAGATACTCACATAATTTACTTTTGAATTTACATATTTTATCTTGATATACATACTCATTATTTTAAACTGTTACTGGCAGATGTTTATAATATCCAATAATCATAGAGAAACTGACCCATGAATATATAACATGAGTATATAACAGGAGGTATATAAACAACAGGGGTTGCTTGAAGGGGGACTACTTTATAAGTAAACCATTTCCTTTGTGAATAGTCTAGTGTTTGGTATATTTTCACTTTCTTAGCAACCTCAACACTCTTAGGGTTGGGAGAGTGACATACAGATAAATAGGGCTCCCCCCTCCATCACTGTATATGACATTAACTACCCACTGAGTTCCTGATAGATACACAGCTACAGTGCTTTCCATTAGTCACAGACCTGATAGAGGAACTCTTCACCTGGCGTCCAACAAGACATTTAGGAGGTCCCTAAAACTTCTTGGTCCATGAAAATTTTGGGCTGTATATACCACTCTGTATTTTTCTGAGGAGTCTCTAACTTTCCCTAGATTCTCAATACCTTAAAAAGTTAAGAACTACTGACTAAAATTAATTTTTTAATCTGTTTCAATTGACCGTGACACAGCACCACTCTTTACTCTGTCTTTAAAAATCCATTACCCATTTTACAATCCCCTGATAGCTATTATAATCTGAAAGTAGCAGCAAATATTAGTAGTACCTTTCCCAGATCTCTTTTGTCCAGACTCTACCACCTGTGTCAAGCCCTTTCATTAACTAAGATTATGAGGAATGAGTTTCAGGGCTGAGTAGTAGTATTTTAACAGAATGGAAAAGAATGACAGAGTAATGACATCATCAGCGTAGGTCTTCTCAAAATATGAAGAAATGAAAATAATGGATAAAATGAAAACAGAAATCAGCCTCTGTCTAGAATGTGTTTTGCATGGATTCAAAAATATTTTCCTTCCCTATGATTTGTATTGTTATATTAAACTATCAACCCAGATAATAAAGTGGAATTTTATCATAAAGTTCAAAGTAAATAATGTTCTCTCGAAAATTCTTGAAGTGTATCTTATTGCTCTTTTTCACATGGCGTATTTCAGATGAATTTATCTATCTGTCTTTAATGACTATTCCTATAAATTTAGAATTATTTTTTCCATGTCAAACAATAAAAATTATTTTAACTCTCCAAACTCTGAGCTAATGCTGTAAGCTAAGCCTGAGATAATTACTAGACCATAAGAATTTAATATTTTCCCATTTTCATTAGCATTACGTCTCAAATTTTGTGATGACATATTTCCCTATGAGTAATACCTAAAGTACCCTTTCAAAAATTTATCCCAAAGTTAATATTCAAGATTACCTCTGAATTACTTTAGTAATGTACAGTAGCATTTTAATTTTTAGGCTTCTCCCTCCTAGTAAAAAAAAATTCAATTTATACCATCTCATTTCATTGTACCATTCAAGGTCTTCCACAACCTGTTGCCAATATTATTTTCCAGGACTTCAAACGTGGTATCTTCTAGGGTGGCCAGATCTTTCTAACGAATGTTCCATGAAGATACTTCCTCAACTTATTCTCACTTTTGTCATTTGGTTGATATTATTCCCTAATATGCCCTCCCTTTCACCAAATTTATGCTTTTAAAAGAAGTTACATTCTACCTTCCCATAGACTTTTGTGAGTCTCCAAACTTCTTCATTCATTTCCATTTTCTCCGACCTTCTGTATTTACAGCTTATACTGTACCATGTAGAGTTTAATTCTATGTGTCTTCTATCTTTTGTTGTTGTTTCTCATGTAGACTTGTTACTCCCTGAGGAGTAAGACAGTATCTTGCTCATCTGTTCTACATTTTCACAGGATTCACTGAAGTTTGGGTATCCCTCCATAAATTCTCATTGATCAGATGATCGCTCATGGAGGTCTAGCACAAAGCAACCTGCTTGGTAAGTCAATTCCTAATCCCAAGCTTGAGCTTTCTTTCTTGAGAAAGAAATTTTGAGTAGAACATTATAGTTATAAATATTTTTAATAAATGCTAACAAAGCCAGCAAAGGTCATAGGCTACTCTAAGTACTTATGGGAATGGAGCTTTATTCTCCACTCAGAGCTCCATATAATAAGAAAGAGTTTCTGTTTCACTAATGATTTTGTCAGTTGGCAAACAAAGTTTCTATATTTTGTCAATGTGGAGCAAAACTGTATCACCTAATTAATTTACATCCATTTTTAGAGATAGTGATAAATTTTAGCTAGCTGAGAAATTGTCCTAGTAGGGTTTTTTAAATTGTATTTTATTTTTTTGAAATTGATTATCCAATATCTCTTTTGGATGAAGAAAAGAAGATTTGGAATATGATTTCTGATGCTGATTAGAAAAATCATGAAAGTGAAGGAAAGTAAAAAGGACATGTACTAATACATTGTGTGCCTGTGTGTAAGTGTATGTTTGTGTGAAGGACCAAAATTTTAGCCCATATTCTTGAGGAAAGTATTCAATGTTTTCCTTTTTTTTGAACACAGCATGTCTCCGTAAATATGCAAAGACACTCTTAGAATTAATGTAATTGAACTGACAAAAGGGATTATGGTCTCACTTTAGAAAGCAGAGGTTTTATAAATTTTTGGTATTTTATTGTGGAAAATTCTAATGTTTACTGTAAATTCACTTTTCAATTAGAAGTGGCAGATACTGTATCTTTTAACTATTTCCTCTATCAAGTTTAAACTTTCAACAACATGTCTCCCAGACAGTGGAGAAAGTCAATGGACTATCACATCTGCTGATATTGATACTTGACGACTCACATAAGACTTGAATAGAAGAGTTGGAAGTGAATTAATGAAAAAAAGTTTGTGTATTTCGTAGGTTTACTCCTTGAAGTCAGCTGGTTCCAATGGTACATCACCACATCGCTACTTTTACAACATTAGTAGAGAGCTATTTCTTATGTTGTACCTCTTTCCAGGAAAACATAATTTAAGTAGATTTGGACGTCTTTGTCAAAGAGGAAAAAAATCCTTTTTAGTCCTCAGTAATTCTTCAACACCATGTTTCTTCTTCCTGTGAATTCTTCTGTCATTTCTAATCAGTTTTTCGTGAACAGTCTATTCCTTTTGGAAAAATTAAGCCAAAGCAATATATGAAACAGAACATACTTGTTTAGCACCAGCATAGAATTGCTTCCCAGTTGATGAATTGAGTCTGTTTGTTTTTATAATTCATTACCATCATCTGAGCTAAAACTACTTCTCCTACTGCTTTCTTTGGAAACTGCAGGGGAAGTGGCAGATAGCAGAGGATCTGTTCCAAATGGAGATATTGTGTCATCCAGTAGCATGTCATTCAATCTTTGTTCCTCTTTCAAAGCGGCACTAAATGATAAATCTGTGAAATGTGACAAAGGATCAGAGAAGGCCATAGCTTGATCACAGAGCTCAGGGCTGGTCCCCTGAGACAAAGTCAGTTGTTTGCAATAGTCTACTGAATTCTGCTCAAGATGGGTCTGTTGTTTGGTGACATGAACACCCAAATCAACTGTGCCAAGTGAAGCCAGGGCTGGCAGACCATGCGCACGAGCCTGTATTTCTAGTTCCTGCAATTTCGAACAAGAATAATTAAATAATGATTTTGCAAGTGGACTTAACTCTAGAAAATAAACCAGAAATAGAAACAAAATATTAACAAGCATTCAAAATGAAGAGTAATACATATTATAATATTCTTTGCAAGTAATGGAAACTAGTATAATTCTAATACCTAAAAAATAACCCTGAGAAGACTATACAGATTAAAAAAAAATTCTCTCCTCATTGCTGTTTAAAGGAATACATAACATATAATGGTTCCATAGTGGCTCAGATTACAATATAGCCATTTGGAGATAGTGGAAAATATTTCACTTATTCTTCCTGATTAATTTCTCACTATAGGACCATTACATGGAACAGAGTAGTGCTTTACCTGGCAATAAGCATGTTCACATTAAAAAAAAAATCTTGAGAGTTAGGAAAACCCATATTTTGATATTTTGTGTCACAGGAACAGATGAGGAGTGACTTAATATATACTGGCATAATATGCCTTGCGGCAATGAAATCCATAGCAATGTTACTAAAGAAATAAAAGGGAGAAGAATTTAGTGTCCAATATTACATAGAGAAACAAATGCTTTATTTATTTATTCTTTGGCTGAGATAACATTGTGTGTTTATCAAATTCGTTCTATTTTCCGCATTTTGCGGAAAAATTAGTTGTCGTCATTCATTCTATTTTTAAAGCTGCCTTGATCCTAGACTTCTGATCAAAGTCTAACTGAAACAACCCAATTTGTGAGCTTCTAAAAGGCAATAAAATTATCCTTTGGAAGGAAAATTATTGTTAATAAGAAAAAATAAATGAGACAATGAATAAAACTGATGATGGGTAAGTCATATATAAGCAATGTGGTTCATGGCAACATTTTTATAAAAACCTGAATCCGGAGGAGAAGCCGCCTGTTAGCCTGCTCTAATTTCTTCTGTCTGTGTTCTAATTCTCGAGCTCTCTGTTGTTCTTTTTGTAGCCACTTGATGTACTCCACTGATGCTTTTAGAATGGTCCCTTTGTTCCAGCGCATATCACTATAGAACGGAGAGATAACCTTTTCACAATTGTGCATGTCAGCAGAATTCATAAGAACTTACAAAATCTTTTACATTAATATGAAATAATGATTTACATGACTATTATTCACTCTTAGATATTATTGCTTCTGAATAGAAATTTTAATAGAATAGTTAAGAAGCCCTTATATAGTAAAATTAATCCCAGAATGAAAATAAGTGTCAAAAGAAAGTAATAAAGTGACTTTTTGTGGGAGAGCTAAATGCAATATCATGATTCTACCATTACAGTTTTTATATTTTTAGTGAAAATTGCTTTTATTATTAACTCTGAGATTAAAATCTATGTGCGGTATTTCTGCATTAATGAACTAGGAAATGTACATTACTGAGGACTTAAGCCTAAATTTTTTAAGATCATTTCAAATGTACCAGTCTTTTAACCTACTTTCTAATAAGGTTGCTTTTATGCTTCTAAGAAAAAAAAAATAAGGTCCCTTCTGAATGGTGATCCTGAGTGATTGTGAAACAAATCAGAGTTCGGCAACATCTACTTTAAGCAATAGAGCAAAACTTTCTAGAATCATTAGGCAAATTTTTCTGCAAAAAAGACATCAATACTTGTTTTAAAAACTGGATGCCTATTTTTAAATAAGTTTAAGACAAATAAATACGATTAAACATTACCAGATAACCTTTCTAGAGCATAGAAAAAATATTTTATTAAAACTTATTTTTAAGTCAGGAGAAATGATAAATCTGGAATTATGAAACAGGCTACGGATTGTAACATCAATGAATTTAATCCTACATGAGAATTAATAATGCATGTGGAGAATGCGGCCAAACTAATTGCTAAAAGTTAATCAGAGTTGCAGAAAACCTTGGTGAATTTTCAGTTTAGAGTCATGAGATTTATTTTAATACAGCATACAGTAAGCATGTAGGAAATTTTTTATAAAGATTTATTAATTTTAGAGAGAGAGCATGAGCAGGGTGAGGGAGGGGCAGAGGGAGAGGGTAAGAGAGAATCTCAAGCAGACTCCCTGCTAAGCACGGAGCCCACCTCCGGGGCTGGAGTCCAAGACCCTGAGACCATGACCTGAGTAGAAATCAAGAGTCTGACGCTGAACCAACTGAGCCACCCAGGAGCCCCAGCATGTAGGAAATCTTTTTTAAAAATTACACTTTATGTACTTTTGGTTTATATGATCTATGTGAGGTACATTGAAATTAATATTTATTTATTAAGTGATCAGAAGTGGGAAAATAGAGCTTAGGAAAAATCTCACTTGCATGTGCCTCACTGGAAGTTCAGGTTAGATGAGACTTCCATTAGCTGTAACAAATAGAGGAAGATATATTTTCTACCGGCAGGTGAAAATGCGTACTAGGGCCTGGCTAAGCCATTTCCTACTGAAAAGCACCAACCCATTACTACAGTCTGTCTAAAGGGTGCAAATGTTTTATCAGCTCCCCTAGGGCCATCATAGCTGTTGGTCTCATTCCACTCACTTCTTGGGTGATGGGAAGGCTATGGAAAAAGAGGCTACTTTTGTCATTAAACTAAGAAGGTACTTGTAACTCAAAAAGGTATTGAACTCCTGAATTAAAACTCTAAGCTGCCACAGGAGCCTTTTGGCCCTCATTTTGTTTAATTTTTCTCATGGGAAAAAAAAACCTTGAAGGACAGAAGAAATATTATGGAAAGGATAACCTCTGGTCAGCTTTGAAGTTTAAGGCGTTTATTAAAATAAACCTTCAAAATGGTGGTAGAGACCACACAATGGGTCTTCTGACCATTTCCATCTGACATCATTTGCACTAAATTTTTTAAAGTTCATTCTATTTTAAAGCCATTTTAATATATGAGGTTTCTTCTTAACCAATTTCTTGAGCCGAAATCAAGAGTCGGATGCTCAACCGACTGAACCACCCAGGTGCCCCCCATGGATCCAAGTTTTAAAGAGTCTATGTTCTGAATTCACCCATGGGACTCACATTAGTGGACCCTAAAGAGAAGCACTAGATTAACAGGTGAGGCCACAGCAAGCCAAGGGATGAGATGTATTGAAACAGAATTGCTATTGGATGTCTGGAATGCTGTAGCCAGTGGTGAAGTATCTCTTCTGTCTGTGCTGTGTGCAGAGCCACATACAGATATCTTCGACATCTAATGAATTAATGTATTTTCAATCAGACCCAAAGTAAATGTCATTTCCATACACAGAACATAATACAATTAAAACAAGTAATGATACCTCTTTCTGAGATCCATAAAGAAGAGAAAAACACTTAAGAATGTTTACAATAAACTTTTCCCAGTGATAGTCTCTTTTGGATATGATTCTGTGATAAATTGATTTCCTATATTCTAGATCAGGGACAGACAAACTATGACCTGTAGTCCATTTTTGTCAATAAAGTTTCAGTGGACACAGCCATGTTCATTCATGTACATATTGTCTATGTCTGCTTTCATGCTACAATAACACAGTTAGAAAATCACCACAATGTGGCCCACAAAGCTTGAAATATTTACTATCTGGTCCCTTACAGGAAAAGGTTGCCATTCTCCATTCCAGACAGTGAGTTAGAAGTAGAAAGGAGCCTTTTTATAACTAAAGTTTCTATAAAATATAGAATAATAATCTATATTTATCATTTATCATTTGTACAGTATTCTCATATATACTATTTGGTTTTATGTTTATAAAAACCCAACCATACAGTTGGTGCCTTATAGGCATAGTGACATCTGAATGTGGTCAGTTGGGCTTCAGAGTCCAGTCTTAAAGTTTCATCTGCCTTCTGTATATAACCGTGCCTTGGCACCATGGGTTAGCTCCACCACTTACAAGAGAACCTCTCTCTCTCTTTTTTTTAAAGATTTTATTTATTTATTTGACAGACAGAGAGAGAGAGAGAGAGAGCACAAGCCGGCCAAATGGCAGGCAAAGGGAGAGGGAGAAGCAGGCTCCCTGCTTAGCAGGGAGCCTGGCGCAGGGCTCGATCCCAGGACCCTGAGATCATGACCTGAGCCGAAGGCAGACGCTTAACCGACTGAGACATCCAGGTGCCCCAAGAGAACCTCTCTTAACTGGCCTTTATCCAATCACTTTCAAGGTTAATTAATGTTCTCCATTCCCTTTGTGACATTCACTGACTGTTGTCAGGACAAAATAGGTAATAGAGAGCAATGGGCTACCCTCTGATACATCCAAGTATTTCTGTTGTCAGTGTGGTGCCATGTACTTACTGAGAGGTTAAATTAATGCCCATTGTAATTACTGTGATGATAATATAATTAAATTATAGGTAATGAATTACCTATAATTAAATTAGCTAATGAAATATGAATGCCAAAAAAGGAAGTATTTATAAAAATAGTTAACTGTTTTTAGGAAGACTATATTAAAAGCTTTGGAAAAACTCAATTAAAATGTCAATAAAGGTGGGTTGCTAAAAAATATGCTGTCACAGGGGCACCTGGGTGGCTCAGTCAGTTAAGCATCTGCCTTTGGCTCAGGTCATGATCCCAGGGTCCTGGGATCAAGCCCCACATTGCATCAGGCTCCCTGCTCTGCAGGAAGCCTGCTTCTCCCTCTCCCTCTCCCCCTTCTTGTGTTCCCTCTCTCGCTGTGTCTCTCTCTGTCAAATAAATAAATAAAATCTTTAAAAAATATATGCTGTCAAAAATAAGGGTATAAACATTTAAAAAGTCTATATTTAGGTTGTGTAAGTTTTTGTTTTATTTTAAAGAAATTAAAATAGACTATATATTCTAGTGCAGTTTATGTAAGAAAGAAAAGTTGAAACACATATTCAAACAGAAAAGCCTTGGCTTTACATCAAATGTTTGGTGAATAAATGTGCATGTATATATGTTAAGGGCTAAAGAAAAAAGTTCCTATCGGGACAATGGGTATTCTCTTCTGCTAATGTTAAGAGTTGCATGCTTAGAGACTTTAAAAGATTTGAAGAGTTATCAAATGACAACTACACTATGACTGAGTTCTTCAGAGTCTCTATCCAGAGTTCTTTCTGCCATTCCATCTAATATGCCCATGAGGATAAATACTACCTTCCCTTCTACTACAAATTATTGAATTGTCCAAGTGAATTGGCACATTTGGATTCAGGGAGAGTATTTCTAAATTTCACTAATATCACTTTATCAAACATCTCTCTTTCTGATAATAGATGATCACTAGTATTTGGAGAGGCCAGTTCTCAGTTTGAATAAAACATTTTTCAGGTCATTATTAATGCAACAGATCTTATTTTTATGTTTCGGAGAAAAATTCAACATTCTAACTTGATGCTTTGATTAATCAATTCTTTCCTGAAATTACCACCTTAAACATCTTGTTTAACTGATTTTGAGTATGTATGACACCAAAACATGGCTGAAAATTTAATTACAATAACTGATTATTTGTTGGCACCAATCAGCATGCTTTTATAATTCCATTTTGTACTTGCATGTCTCCAGAATTTTGGGACCTCTGAAAACCCAACAATTCAATGTTCATGTACACATAAATCTCACATTGGAAGAATTGCTATAACCACAAATTTAAGTATACCAGTAAGTGTCATAGACAACATTTGATACTACCACTAAATTTGCCAATTATTGGTGCCATATAGAAAGACTTGCTATGAACTGAGAAGAAATAATTTCCTTACTTCCTATATCTCAGAAGAGCAAATGTTAGTAACAACCTTGATGCTTAATAACTATCAGTCTTGAATAGAACAATAAGACCAGCAGTTAGCTTTACCTTTACCATAAGCTACTTAATTTCTTAGCAGTTGGTTCTTCTCTCCCCCTTCCCCTCCCACCCATGTTGGAGGGTATTCAAACCATAACATTATTATAGAAATGATTGTTGAACTCACGGATCATTAGACTTTGGAATAAGAGTGCCAAGCTCCTTGATTCGGTAATTAATATTATACCTTCTTCTTCTTTCAACTATTAAAAGAGAAATATTATTGATTATTCTCATTAAAGCACAATTCACTTTTGGTCAGCTGTAAACTTTCTTAATAATCTTTAAAAAACAGTGAGTGAAAAAACTTCCATGTAATCAAAAGAGTACTCAAAAATAAAATAAAAATTCAAATATATTTCAATCTAAAAGTAAAAATGATTATATTAGAATTGTGATTCTATTATTGACAATGCTTTAAAAACATTTTCTCTCAAAACAACTTTTTTTCACTTTTTGAAATGCTATAATATTTACTCATACTGAAATACACATGTATTTATATATATTTATCCTACTGGATCAACATTTCACACATATGCATTTTGCCCATCAGGATCATAATCTTTTGAGGTCTCCACCATGCTTTACTCTTCTCATAAAATCCCCAAAGGCCTAAGACAACGTTTGGCAGATGGCGGGTGTGTGTGCCCAACTAGACTGTGACTTCTTTGAGGGCAGGGGCCATTTATTCCTCATTTTTCTATTCTCAGAGGGCTTGGCATATAGGAGGTATTAAATAAATTTGATTAGACTATAAATATTTTTTCTAATTTAAAAATTTTCAATAATATATCGAGTAGAGGCTTTCCACCTTTGGCATACATGAGTTGGGGCCCAAGGATCTGCATTTCTGACAAATTCCCAGGTCATGTTGATGCTGTTTATTTAGAGCCTACATTTTGAGAACTACCGGTATAAATTCTTATTTAGAGACTGTTTTCTCTGTTTTCATTTCCATAAATTCATTGCTTTTGGAAATTTTATGCATATAATAAATGTTCAATAAATGTCAGATATACAAATAAGCAGAATTTCCCATATTGACCCCTATGAGAAAACAGTCTTATGGAGTAGTGTAGTCTTACAGTCGACCCTACATTCCTAGAATCAAGAACCACAACATATGCTTCTATACAGTATTTTTTTTCAATAGGTAACATTTTTAAAGCTTTCCAGGGAAATGAAGGAAGAAAAAGGTCATGAAGAAGAAGAAAATCATATATCAAAAATATTTGAAAATACTTAATGCAAGCTAAAAATTAAGATCTGCTACCAGAAACAAGGAAAGTCATGAAAGTATAACAATTGACTCTACAAAGCAATTTACCATGAATGGATTTGACCTTCAGTAATAATATATTGGGATTATTCTAAAATTAGAATATAATTGATTCTTGAGGGAGTTTATTTTCCCTCTTTGCCAATCCTGTTTTCCCTATGCATTTAATTCAAAAAACAATGACACCACATGAAAAAACTGAAAAGAAAATAAACAAAGGTAAAGCTGATAGAAATACATACATATTTCACAGTAAGAATTATTAATAATTCTATGTTCACACATACTCACTCCTATATTATAAAACAGACTTTTAAATATAAGATGAAGAATAGTTATGAAGGATGTTCACAGTTTTACCTCAAAATAGGGAACTGGTTTAGTCCTATAATATTTCTTCAAAATCTATTATTTAAATATATCTTACGTAAAATGTCAGAAGTTCCTACTCTACTCTTCTTAGATTGTGCTTGATAAATTTTTAACAGCTAATTATAATGAGAACTTTGGTTCCTCCATGTTTTCATATCCAGTACTAGTTATTTGTAAAGGAGTCAAGTTTTAAGGGAAATTACCAAGTTATTATAAGCCATGTGCGTTTCACTCTTCACAGTCTTGATATATTCATTCATTCCTGTCCTGAGATCAGGGTGAGAGAGGTCCCTATCCTAGACCTATACTTAAGAGAAGCCACTTTTGCCTTCTCTCACCAAACCCTTCCTTCCCCACTGAGCAAGTCAGTCACAGAGTCAAACTACACTCTGAGTAACTTGTACCAGGAATATCCTCCCAAATGCCCTGAGCCCACTTCCAGAGCCTGTGCAGGCCACTCCCTGGGCCCATCCATGAGGACCATGACACCAGTGTGCCCACCCCTAGGCTAAATGACCTGTTATTTAAACTGGAGATGTAGAGAAGAGAAGAGCAAGGAGAGTCATAATGAGTTAACAGGTTTAAAATGAAGAGAGAAGCCCATGGTTCCTTGCTCTATTAATCCTTTCTATCAACAACACGCTCCCCCTACTCATGTTCTACTTGTCTCACAATCTGGACCAAAGCCAATCTGCTCTACAGCTAAGGGCTCTCAGAGTGAGATCATTTCTGTCTCCACGATGACCCTGCAGATAGTTAGAACCACTTGTCAGTTCTTCCCTCGCAACCTTACAGTCAACAAACTGATCAGTCTGTGATGCAGGCAGGTGCAATATGAACGGACAGACGTGGGGTCCACAGGTCCGTGTAGAATCAATGTCAGCTAACCACATGTAAGAAAATTCCTGGTTTGTTTTAGAGCTTTAAAGTTTTTATTTATGTTTATTCTATTTTATTCTTTTCTCATTTTTTAATTGGCCTTCCAAAACAGAAAGGCTTCACACTCACTTAGTCAAGCTCACTTGAGGCAGTTAAGCACTTGAGACATGACCAAACACTATCAAGCTCAACATTGCTGCTAACCTACTTCCCTCGCTTGTATTTCTCCATCTCATGTGCCCATCAGAGTCAAACTGACCCCTAGGAAGGCAACAAGGACATTTTTTGGCAGAGGTAGAATTCAGCAATCTCTTTCAGATAACTTATCATCAGGAAGGGAGGAGCAGACTGACACAGAAAGATGAGAACATGGAGTAGTTTCTTGCTTTATAAGTGGTGTACATTTTCTAAAGCCACTTTTATCTCTTTAAACCTTTGAGTCAATGAGTCACAACAGAGTTCAAATATAACTAAATGCACTCATCTCTGTCACACTCAGCCTGCCTGAGAGAGACAGAGTGATCAAGGAGACAATTTGAGATGTTTTACTTCCTAAAAATATGTAGCTCTTCTGAGAGTTCACATCATTTAAATTTCCCAAAATAGCTCAACTAGTGAACATATACTATTCATTTTGGCTATTTTGGTTATGTGACCCCATAATACTTATGAAGTGATAATAAAAGACCACATATTTTAACCTCCATGCATTTCCTCCTGCATTAATTTTTTTTTTTTTTAGAAAAAAGGAAAATATACTCACTGAGGTTGTGGTTGTCCTTTTTTTGTCTCTCTTTTGCCAAAGCTCGTGTATCTGTTTCTGATCAAAAGGAAGATAATTTAAATAGTACTTAGTTCTACTTTACAACCTCTCTAGGCAACATAATTCAGAAAGATTAGGTGAAAATACAATATTTTTTGCTCCAAATGGCATAACAATATTTTTATGCAAGTATTTAGAAATTTAGAGCAGAGCACACTTTAAGTAAGAGGCAATGGCACACCTTTTAGGCTTTGAATAGTAAAATCTGGATTTATATTCTAGCCTTCCATTTAATAACCATGTGATCTATTACCGAAGTTATCTGTGTCTCAGCTCCTCATCTGTAAAATTGGCATAATATAATACCTATCTGATAATCATTGTGATGATGAAAAGAGGTACAGTGCATAGCAAATATTAAACTGCTCAGTCATTATTATTATTTTAAAATTTTAAGATTATTCAAAATTATTTCAGCCTAATTTTTACAACTAACATTTTTTGTAAACAACAATGATTTCTATGTCCCTGGAGTTGGAACTAGCTACAATTCTCAAGTATTCCTATCAAACACTTCCAGGAAATGACACTTTACTCTATGTGCTACATGGTTTGCAAGCATTTGTGATGGTCAGCCTCCAAAATGGCCTACCATGATTCTCATAATATTCACACCCTTGGTAGTTCCTTTGCACATTAAACAGGGACACCAACAGAATACTATGAAAACGACTAGTGTGGCTTCCAAGACTAGGTCATAAAAGACATGTACAGCTATCATTTTAGTGTCTCTTGGATCACCAGTTGTCATGTCATCATTTGATCAGCCCCATGGAGAAGTTCATGGGATAAAGAACCAAAACCTCTTGCCAACAAACAGCACTAACTTGCAAGACCTGCAACTGAACTGTTTTGGGATAACATCCTCTAGCCTGCCTTGTGTCAAATGTGTACCTCTGGACAACATCTTGACTGCAACCTTAATGAAAGACTGAGCGAGAACCAATTTTCTAAGCCATCTCTGGATATCTGACCCATAGAGATGATATGAGAGAATAAATGTTTATTATTTCAAGTTGTTAAGTTTGGGGATAATTTGTTATATAGCAATAAATAATTAATGCAGTGTTTTTTGCATTATTCTAGTTGTTAAAATAGGTAACATAGGAATATATTTATTTAAATTTGTTTATTTAAAACTATATTAATTCATTTTAGTCTAAATAATTTGTATGTATAGATATTTTTGAGTTATTGGCTAGACTCCAAGAACGGACATATTGCACTTACAAAAATGTTAATGTCAACTGTGTAATAATTATTAAATATCAATGTTTGGGCCCCAAACTAAAAACTTGTTACAGAAATTTCAACTGAATTTTATTTTATTCTTATGGAGGAACTAACATGGGACTCTGTAAATCAGGAAATCCTTATTTTGATTCATATCTTCTTCAACTCAGCTGTACAATTGTGAAAGTAACTCCTCTGACCCTTGATTTCTTCATCTATATATTGGAGGAATTTGACAGTGCCCCTACAATTCTTTTGAGTTGTAAGAACTTTGAAATGAACTACTGAAAATTGAGGGTTCTTTTTTTTTTTAAACCTACTTGAGAAAGTTAAATGTGAGTTTATCATGAAATTCATTAAACAAGCTAAAAGGGGGACAATCTGTTTCATATCAAATTCCACATACAGAAAAGACTACTTTTCCCTGATCAATTAATCTATTATTTTGTAACCAATTTAATAAATTGCACCAGTTCAATATCAAAATGAACCAATATTAAGTGAAAAACTTAGTCAAGTTGTCATATATATGTGTAGAGCATAAGTGTATATTTGCCCAGTTCCTAAAATAATCAATTCAGTTGAATTGTAAGTTATATTAATTTGCTGCTTGGTTGTCATAGAAAAAAAAGGGTGGATTTACTATCTACATTTCTCCCATTTTAACCGATTATCTTGATAACATTTTTTAAAATTCTATTTAGCTTGGTAATATATGTCACTCATAACTTAAGTAGTTGACTTAAAAAGGGATAAAACTATAAAAGCAACATTACCTGTAATTTCTCTTTTCATTGGCAGATTACTTGGACAGGAAGGACTTGTGAGGCCCATATTAACTGGTGAAATTCCCTGCTCACCACTATACACATCCAAAATACTTCCAGATAACTTTAGAAATAGAAGAAAAGATGAATCAAACATTCTGTAGACATTGATATATTTAGATGCATATTTTAAACTTGCCATTTTATTAATAATAATTTGTTATATACAGCATTTTAATTTTAGACAAGAGTGAGTATGCATTGACTTTTCAAAATCATTATCTGATGCTTGTGGATATGTTGAAAAAAGCTATTTATATTTAAGCAAAAAGAAATTAATTAACTCATGAAAGAAAATTCTGATTAATATTTACGAAGTTATGGAAGTTTGATCTGAACATTACCTGGTTATAAATGAGTAAGATTTAAAAAATCACTTGGACAAAATCAATATCCATGTTAGCAAAGCTGGAAAGTTCATTGCATATCATAAATTAAGTATAATGGTTGAACATTTTGGAAGCCTTCTTAATACCATCAGTGCTACCAGCAACTCACAGTCAAGAGGTGTTTTACACTGTTAATTAAGTGAGAGACTTTCTTTCCTTCCTGGAAGGCATACTTTTTCTCATCGCACGCTTAATGTTCTAGATTATTATAAATATCCCAGCTGGTAACCAAAAGTAGTCTAAAACTACTTTTGCCTCTAGTGGATATAGGGTACATCTAATTATAGAAACACTGCAATTCCTAATGTACTTCTTGAGAATAATTTTTCAGAAAACTAAGATGCTTTATAACACAATTCAAAATTGTACAAATTTATTATTTAAAATATGCTTATTAATTTGACTTCCTAAGAAAATTTAATTTAAATAATATTCATAATTCAAGTTAATATTCATTATTCCAGAGCAAGCCACATTTAAAATGTAGGATTTGAACATTTAAAATATTTCCATTCTAAATATCTTTAATTCATTTCTGGGCAGTAAAATAAGAATGCAATAAGTAGTAATTTTTTCTTTTCTTAAGGACTAGAAACAATACAAATAATCAAAGTTATAACCAGATTATTACAGAGATTCTTAACTCCTTAGTAGTTAAAAAGTACTAAGGAGAAAAATGGGCACACTTAAATAATAAAGTAAGATGAGAGAAACAAGTGAAAACATATCAATGTAAACAGGTCAAACCTCTCAGCAAAAAGCCTGACAGTTTGGATTAGACAGCATAAGAGACACACCTACATAGTAAAAGGACATACAAAGATTGAAAATTAAAGGATGGGAAAAGATATAGCCAGCAAATGATAACCATAGAAAACTGACCTAGCTATATAAATATCAGAGAAAATAGACTTTAAAATTAGAAAATATATTAGGGATAGACAGAGTCTCTATATATTAACAAAGAGTTAAATTCTCCAAAATGCATTATAAGCATGCATTCATGTAATAAAATAACCTCAAAATATGTGAAACAAATGTTTTGAACTATAAGGCAAAATCGATAAATCCACCAATGTAGTGGGAAATTTTAACATTTCTTCAAAATGTCAAGCAGACAACAATAATCAGTAATGTTATAGAATATTTGAATAATAAAACTAAAGCTTGGCCTAATAGACACTGTATACTTCCATATCCAAAAATTAGAGAATATACAATTTTCTCGAAAACATATGGGACTTATACAAATATTGATTATGAACTCATCAAAAAACACCTTCAATGTATTTCATTGACACTTGATTTCTAAAATGCTTGGAAATTTTTAAATAATTCAAGGGTAAAGACAACATCATGCTGGAATTTAGAAAAAAGTAAAAGATACTAAAAATACACATAAAAAAACTTCTGGGATATGCCAAAACAATGCTTTCAAGGAAATTTATACCTTTAAAAAGTAATATGAGAAAAACAGATAAAAATTGAAATTTGATAAATTAAGTATCATTCTCAAGAAGCTAGAAAAATAACCAAATAAGCCAAAGAAAGAATAGATAATAAAATAAGAGCATAAATTATGGAAAAAAATATAAAAGTAGATCCACAAAAGTTTTTTTTTTAATTAACAAGAATGACATGTTTTTGGCAAGACTTAGTAAAAAGAACTAAGAATAAATAAATACTATTTCAAGTGAAAGGAAGCGTACTAAGAGTACAAGTTGAGATTTAAAAACAAGCAAGATAAGGATGTCTGCTTTCACCACTTCTATTCAACACAGTATTAGAAATTCTAGCCAGACAATTAGGCAAGAAAGAGAAACAAAAGTCATTCAAATTGGAGAAGAATAAGTAAAATGATCATGTTCATAGATGACATGATCTTATAGTTAGAAAAACCTGAAATTATACACACATACACACACACAGCTATTAGAGCCAATAAAGGAATTCAGCAAAGTTGCCAGGTATAAAATCAAAAATGCAAAAGTCAATTGCATCTTTTATACACTAACAATTAAGAATCTGAAAAGGAAATTAAGAAACCAATCCTATTCACAATAACATCAAAAAGAATAAAATATTTAGTAATACATTTACCCAAATAGCCAAAAGGCTTGTATGCTGAAAACTAAAAAATATTGCTAAAGGAAATTAAAGAAGACATGAATAAATGGAAAGACACCACATATTCATTGATCAGAAGCCTTAATATTGTTAAGATGACAACAGTACCCAAAGTGATCTACAGATTCAATTGACTCTCAAAAGCACTTTCTGCAGTAAAAGAAAAATCCATTCCAAAATTCATATAGAATTTCGAGGGTCCCCAAATAGCAAAAACAATCTTGAAAAAGAACACAAGTGGAGGACTCACACTTCCAGATTTTAAAACTTACAACAAAGTGGCAATAATCAAAACAGTGTTTTGCATAATAGCAGACATAGACCAATGGAGTGGAATTTCTGCACTATTTCAGACATAGTGCAGAAATAAACCCTCAAATATATGGTCAAATGATTTTGACAAAGGTGCCAAGACCATTCAATAGGGAAAGGACAGTCTTTTCAAAAAAAATGGTGTTAGGAAAAGTAGATTCCACATGCAAAAGAACAAAGTTAGACCCTTATCTTATATGATATACAAAAATTAACTTGAAATGGATCAAAGATCTAAACATAAGAACTAAAACTATGAAAGTTCTAGGAAAAAAGATAGGGGAAAATCTTGATAATGAGTTCAGTGATGATTTTTTTGAATATGACAATAAAATCACAGGCAACCAAAAATAATAGAATTTAGTCTTCATCAAAATTTAAAGCTTTGTACATCAAAGCACACTATCAAGAGAGTGAAAAGATAATCCCTAAGCATTATACTGAAACTATTTGCAAATCATATAACTAAAAGATTAATAACAAGACTATATTTTTTTTAAACTCCAACAACTCAACAACTACAGCAACAACAAGCCACCCAATTAAAAAATGGGCAAGGGATTTGAATAGACATTTCTCCAAAGAAGATCTACAAAAGGCCAATAAGCACATGAAAAGATGTCCAACATCACTAGTCATTAGGGAAATATAAATCAAAACCACAATGTGATACCACTTCACATTCATTATGATGACTATTGTCAAGAGAAAAGAAAATAAGTGTTGGTAGGGATGCGAAAATTGGAAACTTGGTGATTGCTGCTGGGAATGTGAAGTGATACAGTTGTTGTGGAAAACAGTATGACAGTTACTCAAAACGTTAAACATAAAACTACCATGTGGCCAGCCCTTCTACCTCTAAGTTTTTGCCAAAAAGAATTAAAAGCAGAGACTTATTAATGCTGAACGAAATAAGTCAATCAGAGAAAGACAAGTATCATATGACCTCACTGATATGAGGAATTCTTAATCTCAGGAAACAAACTGAGGGTTACTGGAGTGGTGGGGGGTGGGAGGGATGGGGTGGCTGGGTGATAGACATTGGGGAGGGTATGTGCTATGGTGAGCGCTGTGAATTGTGGAAGACTGTTGAATCACAGACCTGTACCTCTGAAACAAATAATACATTATATGTTTAAAAAAAAAAAGAAGTAGATAGCAGGAGGGGAAGAATGAAGGGGGGGAAATCAGAGGGGAGATGAACCATGAGAGACTATGGACTCTGAGAAACAAACTGAGGGTTCTAGAGGGGAGAGGGGTGGGGGGATGGGTTAGCCTGGTGATGGGTATTAAAGAGGGCACGTTCTGCGTGGAGCACTGGGTGTTATAGGCAAACAATGAATCATGGAACACTACATCAAAAACTAATGATGTAATGTATGGTAATTAACATAACATAATAATAAAAAAATAAAATAAAATACAAATTAAAAAAAAGCAGAGACTTAAACAGATATTTAAGACACTAAGGTTCATAGCAGCATTATTCATAGAAGCCAAAAGGTGGTAATGACCTAAATGACCATCAACAGATGAAGGAAAAACAAACAAAATGACCTTCAACGGATGAAGGAAAAAACAAAAATAATATACTGGAATATTATAAAGCCTTAAGAAAGAATAAAATTCTGATACATGCTACAACATGGATGAATATTAAAAATATTATGCTAAGTGAAATACGCCTGACAGAAAAGGACAAATATTGTATGATTCCACTTACAAAAAGTACCTTTCTTTTTTTAAGATTTTGTTTATTTATTTGACAGAGACACAATGAGAGAGGGAACACAAGCAGGGGGAGAGGGAGAGGGAGCAGGAGGCTTCCTGTGGAACAGGGAGCCCAATGCGGGGCTCGATCCCAGGACCCTGAGATCATGACCTGAGCCGAAGGCAGACGCTTAATGACTGAGCCACCCAGGCGCCCCACAAAAGGTACCTTTTAATAGTTAAATTCATACAGACAAAAAGTAGAATAGAAGTTACTAGGGGCTCAGGACAGGAGGAAAGGGTTAGCAATTGTTTACTATGTGTAGAGTTTCTCTTGAAGATGATGAAAAAGCTCTGGAAATGGATAGCATGATGGCTGCACAACATTATGAATCTGCCTAATGCCACTGAATTGTACACTTAAAATGTTTACAATGGCAAATTTTATGCTACACACATTTCACCACAATAAGAAGATAATAAGCTATGTTACCCATAATAATTTTCCAATGATGTGAACACTTGG